CAGTGTCTGCAATAATAATGCATTGATGTTGATCCAAAATGGCCACCCTTAACCTCAGAGTGAGCTTATTCTGGGCCAGCAGGTGTATTACATCAGTGTTGTTCCAAAATGGCCACCCACAACCACTGAAGCCCCTAACATTGGGCTTACTATTAATATCCCAAGGTTGACCCAAATTGGCCACCTTTAACCACTGGATTAGGTAATACTGGGAGTGCAGAAGTTGTTTTGATGTGGACTAAAAATGGCCTCCCTCAACCTCTGAATCAGCTAATACTGGCGCTGTTATGATATTACGTCAATTTTGATAAAAAATTGCCACCCTCAACTTCTGAATTACCAAATATTGGGCTGGAAACGGTAATATGTGAAGGTCGACCTCAAAAAGCAACCCTTAACTACAGAATTTCTCAAACTCCCAGTATTAAACCTGCAATTGTAAAATGTCAATGTCGACTCAAAATGGCTGCTTCTTAACAACTGAATCTAATAACATTGGGATTACAATAATTATACTCCAATTTTGACCCAAAATGGCTGCTTTCAACTACTGATTTCATTAATATTGGGCCTACAAATGTCAGTCCATTGTCAACCAAAAATGGCTACTTTTAATCATTGAACCAATCAACATTGGGATTACAATGGATATACTCCAAAGTCGACCCCAAATGGCCACTTTCAATAATTGGCTAAATCAACACCCTGCTGAAAAATCCAGCTTAAACCAGCCTAGGCTGGTTGACTGGTTTTAGCTGATTGACCAGGCTGGTTTTAGAGGGGTTTTGGCCACTTCCAGGCTGGTTTCCAGCCATTTCCAGCCTGGTCTTAGCTGTTCAGACTGGGAGATGACCAGCTAAAACCAGCTTGACCAGCCTAGCCAAACTGGGAGTCCAGCCCAAACCAGCTATGTCCAGCTTAAACCAGGCTGGTCAAGCTGGTTTTAGCTGGATTTAGCTGGTCATTTTCTAGCCTGACCAGCTAAGATCAGGCTGAAAATGGCTGGAAACCAGCACGGAAATGGCCAAAACCCCTCAAAAACCAGCCTGGTCGACCAGCTAAAACCAGCCAACCAGCCTAGACTGGTTTAAGCTGGATTTTTAATCAGGGAACATTGGGCTTGCAATAGTTATACTCAAATTTCAACCCAAAATTGCCACTTTTAAGTACTAATTTTATCAACATTAGGCCTACAACTGCAAGTTAAATGCCAACCCTAAATAGCTGCTTTCAACCATTGAATCTATCAATATTTCGCCTGCAATGGTTATACTCCAATGTCGACCCAAAATGGCCACTATCAATGTAGTATCCTACTGTTAGAGTCCAATGTCGAGCCAAAATGGCTGCTTTCAACAACTGATTCTATCAACATTGGGCCCACAGTTGTTAAAGTTCAATGTTGACCCAAAAGGCTGCTTTTAACCACTGAACGAATCAAAATTAGCCTTGCAATGGTTATACTCCAATGTTCACCCAAAATGGCAACTTTCTATAATTCGTTAAATCAACAATGGGCGTACTATTGTTAATATCCAATGTCGACCCAAAATGGCTGCTTTCAACTGTTGAATCTATTAATATTGGACCTGCAATACTTATACTTCAATGTCGGCCCAAAAAGGCCACCAAAGACCACTGAATATCAATGTTTTTCTCTGTTTTAATATATATCTCACTCTAGTGTTTCAGAAATTTCATTAAAAATATACTATTTAGGATACATTTCAGTATTTTAGAAGGCCCAAATACATCTAAAGTATCCCTCCCCCATAGAAAAATGAACCTGAATCCTTTATAATCGCATTAGGGGACTAAATGTTCAAGCAGCCCACTAACAACTAACATATTGCTCACTGAATTCAAAGTAAGGCATCAGACGTATACCTTCTCTTTAAGACTGCCCTACAAAACCAACAAATGAGAGGACAAAACAAAGACGGGCACACAAAGACGTGGCGTATCTGACGGCAACCCATTCTCACGTTATCTCTTGCTTGAATTACACCTATTTTAGGCTTGAAAGCAGCAGGGGGAGGCTTTACCTCTGCTTTCATCCCGCACTCGCTCCTCTTTACTTCACTTGACTCTTTGTTTTGTTTCCCTAATGCGTCTCTAAACCCATCTTAGGGGAGAAATGGTGCAGAACAAATCCTGACTCCGAGCCTTGGAAATTAAAAGACAGCGCAGGCCTCGATCCGTCTGATGAAGAGATACACACGCGCAGAGAGAGACGAAATAATCCGATAAACAGTGATCTCGCACTTCACGTCTCTATGTGTACGGGGAGATCACCGCACAGGGTTTCTTTCTCTTTTTTTATTTTGCCGATGATGATGAAACTGCCTTGAAAACTCTGAAGCATGCACTTCCAAAATCATCCAGCCAACGAGATTAATCAAGACTATATAATTAGCTTGGTTTCGGATTCAACTAATCTAGATAACACATTTTTTATAACAATGCAAGCATCAAAACAGATAAAGGTTAATCTTGCGCTAAGCAGTCGCAAATATAGGAAGCATACTCCTGTCATACAAATGCGACAAATCGGATGAATTCTTAATTGACTATCAAATTATGGCTAATATATTTTGGCTAATAAACTAATTAACAACTATGAACCTTTTCTCAATTCATTTTAAATCCAAGACTAGGTGTTAACATAAGCCTAGAACCATATTTTATCCAAGCATATTAACACAATAATGTAAAAATGTTTATCATACATTGAGAACAGTTTATAATTTAAACTAAAACTTCTTTTAATTCATAAAATGCATGCAAACATGCTTCTAATACTTGATTTCACTTTAAAAATGTAATTTAAGTGGCTGTTAAGAGTTATTTCGGAAAGTTTGCACCTTTAAGGCTGATTTATACTTCTACGTCAAACACCGGCGTATGCTACGGCGCTGACGCATAGCCCTTCGCTGAGGCCGTCGGCGTCGCTGACGTGCACCTCTCAAAAATTGTAACTACACATCGCAACGACGCGTGGCGCAAGCTCTGTGATTGGTCGGCTTGGTAGCGCTGACGAGTCTGGGCGGGACCGAGAGCCGCGCGAATGGCGTGAGCTGGACGCGAGCCCAATGTAACGATTGTTTACAAGTTTGGAGTTCTGTGAAGGAGCTCCTGATGGAAAGTTTTGTTTTGTGTTTACCTCATAGTTAAAGTTGTTGCACGTCAGCCGGTTCCTGCCTCAAAATGAGCGAGTTTGAGCCACTTGTACATCCAGGAAGTGTTCAGGAAAAACAAAACAGCAGCGAAGAAACTCGACACAGAGAAACATTAACACCTCACTGCCAACTAGTGTTTCGGAAGTGTTAATGCAGACCAACAGAGACAGAAGTATAAATGCACAGCTACGCACGTTGCATGCGTGTGGTTTACATCTGAACCACAAACAGCAGCCAAAAAAAGTTGGCAAAACTACAATCCAGGACAATGATATTGACTGTAACTGGTCCACTATTAAGCATAAGCCATATGAATTAAAAATTTTAATCGCAATATTTTCTGGTATTTATCGCGATAACAACACCAATGACAATATAATTCCTTAGTGTCCACTGAAAGACAAAAAGTCCTCTATTACTAGTGACAAGTATTTATATTCCTTTATTTGGTTGTATTTTATTTATTTAATATATTTTATTAGAGTACAAGTCTTTAAATTGTACTGTTATATTTGTTTAATTCATACTGGACACTAGAGGGCGCCTGCAAGTTTTAACGTTATTGTTACGATAAGTTTAAATTGTTGGTGGCTAAACTTTTACTGGCATTTTGCAAACAATAAGACATCATTCCAATCTCTATACAATGTTGGGACTGTAATAAGTTGATAAGTTGATGTTGATCCAAAATGGCTGCCTTCGACCATGAGATCTGTCAGTAGTAGGCGTTCAGTCATAAAAGACGCCAATGTTTTCTTAAAATGAGCCACTGAATGAGATAATATCGTGAATGTAATAGTATTATGTCAACATCGCTCCCAAATGGCTTCCCTCAACCAGTGAATCTAACAATATTAAGGATAAGCAATATGAATTCAAAACTTAATCATGATATTTTCTGGTATTTATCGCGAAAACAACAATAGTGACTATATAATACCTAAGAATTCACTGAACGACAAAAAAATTTTTTTTTTTTGGTTATATTTTATTTATTTAATACATTTGAATAGAGTAGAGCTTATTAAATTGTTCTGTTATTTTTGTTTAATTCATACTGGGCACTAGATAGCGCCTGCAAGTTTATCGTTATTTTTACGATAAGTTTAAATTGCCATGGGCTAAATTTTGACTGGCATATTGCAAACAATAAGACATCGTTCCTACCGCTAACCAACATTGGGCCTGCAATGAGTTGATGATAAGTTGATGCTGATCAACAAAGGCTACCTTTAACCATGAGATCTGCCAGTAGTGGGCGTTCAGTGATAAAATACATCAATGTTGACCCAATATGAGCCACTGAATAAAGTTATATAGCGACTGCCATGGTATTATGTCAATATCGGTCCCAAATGGCTTCCCTCAACCAGTGAATCTACCAATATTAGGGATAAGAAATACATATTTAAAAATATATGACAATGTTTTCTGGTATTTATTACGATAACAGCATGCTATTTAATTAATAAAAAGTCCTCCATCTCTAGAGAAAAGTATTTATATTAATTTATTGGGTTATATTTCATTAATTTCATATATTTTAATAGAGTAGAGCTCTTCAAATTGTACTGTTATATTTGTTTATTTCATACTGGACACTAGAGGGCGCCTGCAAGTTTTATCGTCATTATTACAATAAGTTTAAATTGTTATGGGCTAAATTTTGACTGGCATACTGCAAACAATAAGACTTCATTCACATCTCTATCCAATATTGGGACAGTGATAAGTTGATGCTGATCCAAAATGGCCGCCCAAAAAGAGTAAAAAAAAAAAAAAGGAAAAAAGGAACTCGAGTTCGATTTATTGTGATCTTACATAAGGCTAAGGAGCCGGTGAGCAGCGGAGACAGCAGCAGGGCGCTCAGGGAGAGCAGGATGGGCAGGTGACCGGTTGGCATCATGACGCAGATGACCTTTGACCTGGCTGGAGAGCCGGCGGCCCCGCAGGCTGGAGACGAGGGGTCGGCACGCTGGACGTTTGGCACTCTGAAAAGAGACAAAACAGAAGAATCCCCATGAGTAATGACATTCACTGACAGGCAAGATAAACACACGTTTGGTTAAAGGCGCAGTGCGTAGTGTTAACACCTAGTGGTTGAACTAGGTATTGCAGTACACATTGAAATATTGGAGAAGTTTTTTTTGTTTTTTTTCAGACTCTATGCAAATGCAGGTTGCCAGATTGACAACACAAACAGGAGCAAGCTTACCTGAAGATCAAGCTTTACACTGTAAGATAATGAGCTAATGATTACATTTGTAATTTTGTTTATTTACGAATTAAATCTGTCTATTTCGGTGGCTAAAACTCTTCTGGAGGTTATGTTTTTGGCAGTGATCGGTTACATTAAAGCAGCCTTCATGACTGACCATCATTTCCACCGAGAAACCCCAAGTTGCTGAAATATAATTGGTTAAACTGGCAGTGGGCTGGATATAGAGACCGACACAAAAACAGACTTTCTGACAGGGAACGCCCGATTTCAAAGAAGAATCTGAGTTCAGCATAGACATGGGCCAGTTGAAGATTCTGACTGTATGATAACCTTGGATAAAAATATCACGGTTTATCAGTATTGTTATTATTTTTAAATATCGGGGTAAAAAACAAACCTTTTTTACATTTGAACATAACCGATTTTATTTTGAGGAACACTTCAAATATTTTAGAACAGTAAATATCCCAGCAGGCACAGGACATGAACATGACGTCAGATTGACGCCACATTTTGTTTGGAATTGAAAAATCGGGCTGACATCAGAATCCAACGTTCAACCTAAAATCAGCCAAATATCAACGTCTAATGATGTTACAGCTTGACGATGTGTGGACATTACCACTATGCTGTCTGTCAGATGCAGGATTTTGGTCGCTATTCCTGATGAATAAATGTTAATTATTGATGTCAATATGACGTTGGCTTAAGATGTTGCCTCGACGTTTGATTTTGGTCACTTTCTTACACAACCTAAAATCAACCTAAAATGAACCAAATATGAATGCTTAAGGATGTTACAGCTTGATGTTGTGTGGATGCTACCACTATGACGTCTATCAGACGTTGGGTTTTGGTTGCCATACCTGACAAATAAATGTCAGTATTTGACGTCAATATGACGTTGGCTTAAGATGTTGCCTCGACTTTGGTCACTTTGTAACACAACCTAAAATCAACGTTGATTTGGCGATACTGTTGTCCTAAAAAAACAACAACGACAACAAAAAAAAAAACGTAAATAAAAAAAAATTACATATACCTTAGCAACGGTATAGCAGAAAAATTGGCGGTTTTAATACCTTGACTTTTTCAAACCGCGGTATACCTTGAAAACGGATATCATCCTATATCTACTTCAGCATTGTTTTTCTGATAAACAAGTATGTTCATTAGCATGTTTCTCAAACATCTGCAAACATATTATGGTATTTTCATGCTTTAGAAGAGTCGTACAGCACCTTAAACACCATTTCATCCGTCAGCCATCAAATGCACTCATTCACACTCTTCAGCAGAACGCTCAGTTTGAGGCTCTTTGCAGACTCCCAATTACACAACTCATAATTAGTCAGGCTTTATCGCTGGATCTTGTCATTATTTACTTATCCGCCCATCTTGTAATTACCAAGACACTCATCAATATTTCAGACGGTGTCTCTTTGTTTTAGCCAAATTGCGATTAATCCCCGCCGTCGCCGCTCTGCGTGCCTCGGGAGTCGACTTGCGGGTTGCTGTGTGTCTCTCGCACACGCGGGGCGGAAACCCGGCGAACGTGCTTGTACACCATTTAATTAAAGATGGCAAGAACATCAGATGGCAAGATGGCAAGAGACGTGCGAACACGTGTAGCTGCTTTCGGAAACGCTCGCTCATTGAGAATGAAAGAGATGTTGACATGAAGCGCCGAGTCTCTTTAAAGAGTGACTGCGTCTTCTGTAGACAAACCTCCAGGCCTGTGTGACTCAATAAAGAGTGTTCAAACAAGTCAGAGTCCAAGCTGGCGCTGCTTTAATTTGTGCCCTCGGGATCTGGTGGAGGACCAAGACTGGAAGTCGAGGAAATACTAAATGAATGGCGTTAGAATTAGCCTACAAGTACATTAATTGTTCATATAAAAGTGAGTCCATCAATCTTTGCATCAGCTAATACTGAGATTTTAATGATATTACATCACTATTGATAAACAAACAATCATTCAAAATCCCCCTAATACTTGGCTGGCAATGGTAATATTTAAGGTCAACCCAAAAGAGATGCACCCCCTCAACTGAAAATGTACTCACTATTTACTCTACCTCAAACATTTTATGGAGTTTTTTCATTTGGTTAAAAACAAAAGATGATAGTGACGCGGTTCCGAAGATATCGGTAAGTTAGGAGTGGTGGTGGAATTTGGTTTGACCAGCTAAATTCAGCTAAAACCGGCTTGACCAGCCTGGTTTAAGCTGGACATAGCTGGTTTTGGCTGGGCTCCCAGCCTGGCTAGGCTTGTCAAGCTGTTTTTACCTGGTCCAGCCTGACCAGCTAAGACCAGGCTGAAAATGGCTGGAAACCAGCCTGGAAATGGCCAAAACCCCTTTAAAACCAGGCTGGTTGACCAGCTAAAAACAGCCAATCAGCCTAGGCTGGTTTAAGCTGTTAATTTTTTTCAGTAGGGGGTCACAATTAAAAGAACATGTAAATGCCCTGCTGAAAAATCCAGCTTAAACCAGCCTAAACTGGTTGGCTGGTTTAAGCTGGTCGACCAGCCTGGTTTTAGAGGGGTTTTGGCCACTTCCAGGCTGGTTTCCAGCCATTTCCAGCCTGGTCTTAGCTGGTCAGGCTGGGAGATGACCAGCTAAAATCAGCTTGACCAGCCTAGCCAGGCTGAGAGCCCAGCCAAAACCAGCTATATCCAGCTTAAACCAGGCTGGTCAAGCTGGTTTAGGCTGGATTTGGCTGGTCATTTTCCAGCCTAACCAGCTAAGACCAGGCTGGAAATGGCTGGAAACCAGCCTGGAAATGGTCAAAACCCCTCTAAAACCAGGCTGGTCGACCAGCTAAAACCAGCCAACCAGCCTAGGCTAGTTTAAGCTGGATTTTTCAGCAGGGTGGACGGGCAAAAAAGTCAAATATAGGCAACAAATTGGAATTGAACATCAAGACTTGACAGTGTAAATGGGAGCTAAGAGATCATGGAAAATGCTAACGTTAGCCTGATAGCACCGAAAGCCACTATCTGCATGCACAAGGTCAGCGAAGGTATGGGATTACAGATCTTGACAAGCAGGTAGGACAGCCTATCATAATGTTCGGGCCTTTCGTTTTGATTGGATGAACATTTCTTGGTCCCACAACATCCAAAGAATATTAAAATACTAATTGGAACCAGTTAATTAATTGAAAAACGATGAAAAATGCTGAAACGTATGAAAAAAAAATAGACAATTGCCTATTGCACTTTTAAGCTTGCACTGACTTGCACAATATGACGTTGGCTTAAGATGTTGCCTCGACGTTGGATTTTGGTCACTATCTAACGCAACCTAAAATCAACCTGAAATTAACCAAATATGAATGCTTAAGGATGTTACCGCTTGACAATAGCTGCGTCCCAAATTGCATACTTATGCACTATTTTACGCCATTTTGTAGTGTAAATAGTGTAAGTAGTGTGTTCACATTGAAAACTCTCAAAATAATAAGTGCACTTTAATTACCCGGATGATGCACTCATTCAGCCGCTAAAATGTAGTGTGTAATGATGGACACTTCACACACTCAACGACCGCAGGTTTTCTTACGTAGCGGAAGGGGCGGAGCGATCGGACGCACATGTTGAATAACTTTATTTATTTTGGATGGTGAAAGCAAAATTCTCCTACGAGAGTGATTATAGCGCCTCCCGATGGTGAATGCAGCAATACTCACGGCAGGTATTATTTGATAATTCAGTCATTTATTTCACTGATTTGGCAACAGTCAAACGTCATCAGGGAAATAGTTTGAATTTCCGCTTAGTAAAAAAACATTAGTGTGCCATTTGGGACAACACTACATACATATACTATCCTGTTGAGTGTGTAAGTGCATAAGTACATAGTGCATGAGTGTATAGTGTGCCATTTGGGACGCAGCTAAAGTGTGGATGTTACCACTATAACGTCTATCAGACGTTGGGTTTTGGTTGCCATACCTGTTGGCTTAAGATGTTGCCTCGACTTTGGTCACTTTGTAACACAACCTAAAATCAACGTTGTTATTGGACGTCAAATTAATGTTGTCCTTAGATGCTGGCTAGATATTGAATTTTGGTCACCGGAAGTCATGACCTACATCTAACCTAATATTAACATCTTATGATGTTGGACGTCAGGCTAAATAATTCAAATAAATCATTAAATCAATCCTTTTGCTGTCTTCATTTGCTTCAAAACCAGGAATCTATGGAGATCTTTTCTACTGGCGATGCTGTTGTCCTAAAAAAACAAACAAAAAAACGTAAATAAAAATAAGACATCAATGCCGAACCACTGAACCGCTTTTAAATTTGACTACAAATGAATAGATTGTGCATTCAAAATGAATAACATGGACACAAACATGATACTGACACATTCCTATATTTGGAACGTTTGTAACCAAACTGCCACAAGCCACCAAAAAACAGCCACCATCTTGATTGTGGGTGCTGACAGAATGCACTGCAACAGCACTCCCTTGTTCTCGTCCCCAGAGGGCACGTGAGCCTCTTCAAACTTTAATAATAAGTCCTTTGTGTCCTTCTGCTGAGATCAACGCAATAACACAGTCATCACATACACACACGGCGTGTCAGTCTGCACTGCTATTTGTACAGCGTGTTACGTTTCCACAGAGCCTGGAAGTCATAATGCGCGAGTGAGGACCTAGTGACAGCTGGCTTGTCAGCTTGGGCTTTCCTGTCAACCTGCATGGCGACACTTGAAATTCCGGCACACATAAACAATTGAAAGCGTCAGTCGAGGG